CCCCCCCCTGTCCTTACCCCTCCGCACAGCTGGGCGCCCGCTATCGACAGCGGGACCTGCAGCCCGCGCGCGGTTGCAGTCAGCGCCGGCCTTACACCTGTAAAATTACAGGAAAGGGGGGTTCCAGTTTGTCACACATCCCTCATTGTGTTTACGGACCTCAAACCCCGCCCTCACCGTGCACAACTGGGTCATCGATTGCCGTCTCGTTTCCCTATTATAGCCTATAGTCATTAAGAATGGATCCAAGAAGCACTACTTGGCCTGGGCGCTGGCTGCCGCTGGGCTGGCCGCCGCCGGCCGGGCCGCGCGCCCCCTCCCCTTGTTGACCTCGTGGGGCCGTCTCCTTTAATACGACGGGGTCACATAAGCCCCCTCTTGCGGGACGAGGCCGGGTCGCCTGCGGCTCGCCAGGCGCGACACGGCCAGACTGCACCACCACCACCACCGCGCCGGACGGACGGACAGTCGGACCGCGTGCAACACAGTGGCAATAACCTTGGCCGCTGCTGATGAGACTCACGGCTGCTGCCGTGGGTCTGCGCCAACCGTGCCAAGGCACCCGGCGTAGCGCACCCGGCGTAGCGTCAGCGCACCCGCTGCATTGTCATTAGACCCAACTCGCCAGCCCCGCCCCGCCCCGCCCCGTCGCGTACGGCTCGCACGCTGCCTCTCAACGCGCCGCGGAGCACGATGGGCTGCCTGCCGATCGGGCGCCAAGGCCCGCGGTTGAGGCGGGACGAAGAAAGTTTGCTGGTTTAGGGAATTCATGAACCCATGCCCGCCCAATGCCATGTTCCAGACCAACAGCAAACCATCTTATTGACATGTTGGCGGATTATTAACGTGTGGCGTTTTTTGTTTCGGTTGCAGCTTCTCCTACCGCGGGTTGCGGGCATGTACCTGATCAGTGGACTAGCTTTCCTCATCTACGTCACGAAATTTCCCGAGAGGCTACTTTCCGGTGGGTACAGTGTGTGCTGTAATGCGATGCGAGTTTCCCGAGACGACCCGCTTCGATGTAACCCCCTCTGGCGCTGCTCCTCCCACAGGCCGCGTGGACTACCTCGGCCACTCGCACCAGTGGTGGCACCTGCTCGTCGTGCTGGCGCTCTACTACTGGCACAACACCGGCATTCAGTACGTCGAGTACCGCATGAACCACGGCTGCGGCTTCACCAGCTAGCGGCCTGGCAGCGGCTCTGCTGAAGAGGTTCGCTGCGAGAGGTCGAATGGGTTGCCTGCCCGGACGGGCGCGCCGCGCGCTGCGAGTGGCGTGCGATGTGTGGCCCACCTGCAAGGCGGTCCTTCTGCAGGCCATCGACAGCATGAGGATCGGATCACGTGATCTTTCACTGAGCTAAACGTGATGGAACGGCGGACCACTTTCAAGTTTCTCGACTGTGTCATGTGCCTTTGCGCGTCCTGGAAGTTATGTGGAATTGCTCTGTATCAGAGTTCCCTGACATATCAACAGCGTTTCAGGCAGTGAACACGTTTTCAGTTGCTAGTTGACTAGTTAGATGATAATTAAAGACTTGGAACATCTTTTTACCCGATCGCCCATGGAGCGAGGGAGAAGAAGAGAATTGAAACAGTCTGAATCCTGTGTGTGTTTATAAAAATGCATTACTTATGAAATAGTGTCCCTCGGAGCAAGAAGGGCTATGTCTACAAACATCACCAAAAAAGCGCTGGCGCTCAATAGTTAGCAATTATTTTGTGTTATGCCATGTTGTCCACTTATTAGTTATTTGTTATCTATGAGGACCCTACTATTTGTGCTACGGCTAGTCCAGGCATATACATTTTTATATGATTATGTGTTTTAATTGTTACTTTTTTCCCCTTTGTTAACACATGTTATCCGTCATACGACGTGATTCTTTGAATTGTTGTGTCTCTATTTTCAGTTTAATACCTGAAAAGTTTCACCTGTTATTTGCTCAACATTTTATTCCAGGGCACATATGCTTTCAAGTTACCAAACTTTCACCTGTGAAAGAGAATAAGATTGAGAATAGGAATGATAATTATTATTACATACCAGGTGGCTGTTAACTCCTCGTGGTTTCTGTAGTTATACTGCCCCGTACGCATGAGTGCGAACGGGATTGCCTTTCGCCCTTGCCCATGGAGCTGTACGGGCCGAGCAAGTAGGCAACACGCCCGCGCACATATAGAAATGCGGTACAGCATAACCACAGAAGTGCGCGGGTTGAATCAGCCTCCTGTTTTTTTTTCTGTGTATTGTTTCCACTATAGTGTTGTGTAATGATCTAATTAAATGCTCTCTTAAATATTTTACTAAAGGTCTCAAATATATCGGAACATCTCTTTATAATTGTTTGCTGTCAATTTGTCTGTGAGTGTATGAGTGTGTGTGAGAAAGATATTGTCTGTTGTGATTTCTGCAAGCAAATGTGAGTGCAGTGCCTTTTATTCCTTACGTGAATTGTTGTGCGACTTGTTGTTACTACTAGGTTGTTTTAATTATTAAAGGAAAACAAACAAACAACAAAACATAGTTTTCATGGTTTTTTTTTATTGACAGGAAGTATTTTAAAATTTGGAATGACAGCTGAAGGAGATCACATGAAATATCTACGAGATCGGCGCCTTTACTCCGTATGGGTAAAATCAACCGAGGTAGGGGTGGGCCGGAGCGTAGGCGGGTGGCGAGTGGTAGGCGGCGTGCGGCTGGGCGTGCTGCTCAGCGTAGTAGGCGGCGTGCACGGGCGCTGGCAACATCACAGACGGGGACCGAGTTCAGACCGCGCTACAGGCTCTGCGGGGCAAAGAGACACACGGGGCGTTAGAGAATGTCCGCGAGTAAGTACCTGCTGGGTGCACCAGGACGTGCGTGTGCGCCACGCCCGCTACGTGCACGGCGCTCTCGTGGTGCTGGCGGCCCGCCGCGCCTACCGGGCTGTAGGGTCCGTTGTTGAGGGAGACCACGGGCAGCGGGGCGGCCACGCCCACGGGGACCACGCCGGAGGGGCCGAAGCCTTGCTGCGAGTAGCCGCCGCCGGGGCCGCCGTAGCCGCCTTGTCCGCCGTAGCCTCCTTGACCGCCGTAGCCTCCTGCGCCCACGTAGCCTCCCTGGCCGGGGTAGCCCCCCGGGCCTCCGTAGCCTCCTTGACTGCCGAATCCTCCGGGACCGCCGTAGCCTCCTTGACCGCCGAAGCCTCCGGGACCGCCGTAGCCTCCCTGACCACCGAAGCCTCCGGGGCCACCGTAGCCAGGAGGGCCTCCAAAGCCTCCCTGGCCGCCGTAGCCTCCCTGGCCGCCGTAGCCGCCGGGACCGCCGAAGCCACCACCGGGTGCACCACCATAGCCCCCAGCACTACCCCCGTATCCGGGAGGGCCACCGTAGCCTGGGGCGCCCCCATATCCAGGAGAACCCCCATAGACCACAGGGCCGCTGTAGCCCGTGGGAGCCACGGGTCGGGTGACCTGTGCGACAACGGGTAAGGGCGCCGCGACCCCGACGGGCACGGCGCCGAGGGGCTTGGGGGCGGCCTGGACGCTGGCCACGACCAGCATCAGGAAAGCGGAAACTGTCTGCAAACAAAGCTCACGTGACTCACTGCTCAGCACACAGTACACCAGCAAGAACAGGACATCGGCAAAACAGGAGACATCTTTTCTCACCGTGTGGCGCATTTCACTGCAGCGGTTGGAGTCCGACGTGTGGTCCGCGGGGGGAGTCGCGTCGTTGTGCACGCCTTGTTTTGTGTCCTCCTATTATTTATACACGGATGCGGTGGAAAGGACGATTCGGTCGCGGGCAGCCGGGACCATCCGACCAATGACGTGCGCTCGTTCCCTGGGACTCCCTAGGCGCAGACTCAAGGACGAAAAGAGTCCGCACCTTGCCGATCCCTGCCAGGACCAGCCCAGCCCAGCCCTGCCTGGCCCTGCCCTGCACTTCCCTGCCCCTGCCCCGCGGGTCCTTGCACTCCTGCGCGGGGCCCGACCGGCTGCTGGGGAGTTCCCTCGCCCGGTTGTTGCTCTCCAGCTATAGCGCCAAGCCTGGGCCTGCATCCTCGATGCACCGTCTATCACCCCCTCTCCCCTCATCTATTCTCTCTCCCTACCGCACTCCAAAACAGACGCGGAGCTATAGCGGCACACGCTCCTCTCTTACCATTCCAAGAGGACTTCAGTATAAGGACCAATACGGACGCTATCCACTGACGGAACTCTACCACACCGCCCTTTTGTTCATAAAGCAGGAAAAACAAGATATTTTTCAACACAGTTGCGCAGAGGGTTAGGGGAAAGCAACGATAAGTGATCAGTGATAATTACCGTCGCACCCTCGCTACCCATTTGGCCAACTCGTGGTTCGAACGCGTGCGTCTGGCAACTAGAAAAAGTTTTCTACAGGTTTTCGAGGTGTCGGCCCATCCATGCATGCGGCCAATGAACCTGCCTGCTGCTCTCCGGCCCGGCCCGGACCCGCGGGGCCTGCGCCGGCACCGCCTAATGTAGGGCTGATTGCAGCGGGTGACTGGCACTGAGAGGCTGAGCCCGAGCCTCTAGGCGGGGCCTTCGTGGTGGAGCCTTCACGGCGGAGCCTCATGGCAGAACCGCTGCCTTCGTGTTCACTCCCATAGCCCTGTATACCCACGCAGCACCCGGCGCGAGGCACTACCCGGATAACGGTGGCGGGAGGGCCGGGAGTCATATAGTCCGCGGTGCCTTGGGAAAGAGAGGTTTTGGTACTGATAAGAAATGAGAGGGCTGTGTTGATATAAATAATACTGTTTATTGGTCGAGACTAGAGATGAGCGTTTAACCGAGGATGAGGGGAGAGGAGTAGGCGACGGGGCCAGACCTCACGAGGCCGTTGGAGTAGGAGGCGATGGGGGCGGCGGCGACAACGGGGCTGGAGTACGCCAGGGGGGCGCGGGCCACCACGGGGCTGGAGTAAGCCAGGGGTGCGCGGGCTACCAGGGGGCTGGAGTACGCCAGGGGGGCGGAGTACGCCAGGGGGGCGGCGACGGGGGCAGAGTAGGCCACGGGGGCCACGTAGCCGGCGGAGGCGGCAGCCACCACGGCGAGGAGGACGACCTGTAAGGAGGAGAACAGAGCGAGGCGT